ATATATTAAAATAATATTTTTTATATATTTTAAAAATAATTTTTAATATTAATATATTAAAATGATTTGAAAATATATAAAAATTTTAATTTTAAACAATTAATTTTTCAAAACAAAAAAATTAATTTTAAACAATTAATTTTTCAAAATATAGCTATTTAATTATGCTAGATCTCTGATCCCTGGCTTAACACTCATAATAGCACACTTGATTAATACATTAGCTGACTGGTTGATGGATACAATTTTTGACAGCATGCACAGCGCTCACACATGCTACGATTATAATTAAGTAGGTTCGTACCATTATAGGTTAGTGTGGACGATGAGTTGTGAGATTAAGCCTAGATTAGACATTGCTGGGTGCAATTCCAGCAGTATCGTAGGAGACAAAGCCTGGATTAGACACGAAAGGTTGTGGTTTAGTTCTGTCATCATCATTGACGATTCACCCTATCTGTTGAAATACATTTTTTATTCACTCTCGTGCATCACAACTAAAATTCTTGGAAAAGCTTTCAGGCTCCTTGTACTGTTTATATTTTTTTTCCTTTTCAATTCAGCTATTTTTTCATTTTTTTAAATTTTATTATTGAATTTTTTAACATTCATTTGAATTATCTTTGAACTAGCAGCTAGGTAGAATAAATCATCTCAAAGTAATTTTTTTATAATTTTAAATAGTGAAGTTGATATATTTTTTAATATTATTTTTTCTCTTAATTTCAATCTCAAACTATTTTTACAAGTAAATTAATCAAATCAACTACATCATATTTAATTAATTTTTATATAATTTAATTTTAAATCTGAATTAAATAAGAAGTTGGATTAGAATGATTTTTTTTATCAATTTCATCATCTTTATATAATTTAATTTTAAATTTGAATTAGATAAGAAGTTGGATTGGAATGATTTTTTTTTATCAATTTCATCATTTTTTCTAATAATTTCATCATTAGATTTTTCTACTAAAATGAAGTCTAATCAATTTTCTAAAAAATAAATAAAACTAAATTTATTTAAATAAAAGCTAATTAATAGCTAAATCTAAATATTAGATCAGACAACAAATCATGAACTACAAGAAATAAAATGGGCATGCATACAAAGCAAGAAAAAAAATGAAACTAGCCTACCAACAGAAGGATGTTAATTAATTAAAAAATATAAATAAATTAAATTACACTACTTATTTAATTGAAGATTAAACAATATAAGAGATTAAACTATATTATGATAAATAACTTTTCTCTTTTAATATTTTTTAGTGTAGTATTATAAGATTTACTCGATGATTAGTTGGTATAATATCTTGAATTACTTATCATTTTATGCAAACCAAACCAATAATATTTGTATAGTTCCTTTTTATAGAGTTTTTTTTAGTTCTCATAGTTATATTTATTTTATCTTCAAAGAATGTTTAATTTTATTAGTACCTTATAGAATTTATTTTTTAAAATTCTCATAAAAGTGACCATATTTATTACTCATATAAGTATTTTTTTATAGCAACACTTCATTAGATAAGCTAAAGTATGAGAATCATTAAGAGCCAGCAACGGAACCAAGAGAGGTCGAAGCCTCTGCAGTGAAACATTTTTTTTCCAATTTCCCTCCAACAAATTATATTTTTAGCCCTAAAAAATAAAAAATTGAAATTTGCCCCCTAATTTGTTTCCTTTAATTTGAGCCCCCAAACTAAAATTGTAGATCCGACTTTGTTAATAGCACAACTTACCCTTTTCTAACACCTTAATTATATTATTTTTTAGAATTATTAAGAGTGTTATATGACTTAATTTTTATATTAAAACCTAAATCTTGGGGTTAATCAATCAACTTGATTTGAGTTATTATCATAATGTTTTTTTATTTTTAAATACTTTAAGATTATTCACCTCGATGAACTATACACAAGTTTTCTTATTAAATTTTTCATAAATAAATTCTTCATATTTTTCTTTTACAATGCATAGGCAATATTTTTCTAAGAAAGAGCTACTAGCTCGATAGAAAGGGCGAAGCAACGAAATTGCAAATTGGATGGATAAACAATGGCTTAGGGAAACCTACCCTTAACTTGAGGGCAGGGTTTTTAATGGAGGTAAGAGTGTGATGAGTTTAGGTACGTTTCCATGGAGGCTGAGAAAAACTTAATTGTAGAAAGAGGAGTTTTATAAAGACAACAAGGGCTAAAACTTCGGGAAGAAATGATCAAGAAATATTGGAATGTACAACTCGGACTGCATGAGAAACTAATAGAGAATAATGGGATAATGTTTCACCAGCGTACCAATAGGAGACAGGTGTAACAACTCTTATAGTCAGCATAAAACGACAATAGATCGTTACAATTTGAACAGTTGAAGAATCATCTCTAGATTAGCCCAGATCTTTCAAGTTTTAAATATTTCAAACTTGAATAATTGAATTCTAGTTTATTTATTGATTAGAAGTCTAGTTAATGTCATGTTGAGTCTTGATAAACTTTCAATTTAGTCATTGGAGGTCCGGGCTACCTCGAATATATATGCCTAGAAAAATGTTTTTTTTTTCATTTTAATTTGTAGTTATTGATTTCCCAAATCAATAAATTATCCATTATCAATTTCATTCATTTCGTCCCTTTTATTATTAATTAGTTACATAATTGTTACAAAGCACTCACCATTAAAAAAAAATTATTTTTATCTATTTCTATTTTGTTAATAGCCACAATAATTATTAACATCCGTACAGATGATATATGTAAATATATATTAAAATAATTCATCATTATTGTAGTTTAAAGTCTTTAATAATAAATCTTATTCTGTATTTGTCAATGGTTATATCAAAACCTCCACCTTCATAGACCTAGATGGTCATCACTTCGGTCCATGAAACCTTTATGAGTTATTTTCTTTTCTTTTACACTATAGAAAATACATGCGACATCTGATAGATTTTTTTCCGAAACACCGGGACTTATGACGTTGTAACTAAGTACAGAAGCAGAAGGGACTCACCCAAAAAAGTAGCGACTTTCTTATTTATGCAAACTAAATCCATGAGATCTGCATTCATCGCAGATCTTTGTATTCAATGATTTGGTGACATTGAATCATATGGGTTTTTTTTTCTAAACAAGTCCTTGATTCTAATACAGATTTAGTCCCCCGATCCATTCAATTTGTTGCCAACTTTCATTAAAATTAATGGTCAAATTTTGACCGAAATTCAACAACCAGTGCATGTCACACATGCTTGCTTAGCTAATGATTTTCACGTCAAAAGAAATCTCAAACGAAGACCCAATACGATTAAATTATTGAATCACAGGAGCCTTCGATGCTGGAGAACTTGTCGATTTATCAATTTATCTCCACCAAAACTATTTTGGAAATGATTCGAATCCAAGCATGAAATATTGGGACGCAACTTCTTAAAGACTTGAAACCCTTCAAACCAAACTTGATGGCTCAAAATAGCGCTCTAGCAAACACATGATCTTCGTGCTATAATCTTACCGATGAGTTACAACATTTGATTTTGGTTGCCATATAGTGAAAGAGCTGTTTTGTTTTACTCGATGAATAAAAAAAGCATAATCTTTCTATTGTTCTCCCTCTCACTCCAGGGAAAGGAAACAAAGACACCCGTAAGCATACTGGAGTGATTAATTAATTGAAAAGCGATTCACTAGCATATGATTTGTCGTGAGTATATTTGAATAATTATGCTACAGTTAAATTCGTACAACATAAATTACTAAATTAAGGGAATGGGTGAGAAACTGCTGGGTGGTAGCGTAATGTGACACTCAGAGCAGTAGGCTGATGGGTATTTCTCGTTTTTTTAACAGGAATTTGGTCCTTTCAATGAGATCTCAAGGAAGAAAATAAGTGAATTAGAGGTATTAAAATAGCCAGTTGATTTTTTTATTAAGCATACATTTCGACAAGGAATCTCATAAACTACATTTTTGGTGATACATTCAAAGGAATGCCAGTTCGATAAGGATTGTTTTGGCAGTGTATAGCACCTATGGCATGGAATCACATTTCTCTAAACACCAAATAAAATAACGTTGTGGGCCAATTTATGCTCTATGGGATAGAACCCGAGAAAGAAGAGAGGAAACCCTAGAGAATGTCTTATTGACTTGTGATTAATATTACTAATGTCATTAACATTACAAGGCATCAGTAAATAAGGTTAATTTATGTTGGGAGTTGGGGAAGTGTAATAAGTAAGAGGCAAGAGAACAACGAGGGCGTTCATTGGGAAAGTAGACACATAGTCTTGACTGTAGATGATCACGGAGTGGCTCTTTGTTGGGTCACATGGTAAAATTGTCCTCCTTCTCTCTCTCTTTCCCCTGTAGATCTTACTCGGAATCTCTGGGTTATTATCAGCTTTTCGACATGTTCTCCTTTCCATGACCAAGTGTCCGACCACATTATTACCAAATGAATCTATCGTCACATCTATTTAGGCACATCCTTTTATTTATTGTTAGAAACTAATGCATCCCATTGAAACTTTGAAAGGACCAAGTAAGCCTTTTAACGTAATGCAAGGAACAGTGGTGTCAAAGAAGACGACTCATGCCGCCCTTAATTTGGAAAATAATGTTCCCTTCTCACAAAATGGGATATAGCTTTTGGACCCGCCTTTTTTCTTATCGAATTCCTCTCCTTTTGTTACCTTCGTATATATTTACTTTTTTGGGATGTGCATGCAGCAGTAAGGTAGTCTGGTTTTTTTCTTTTTCACTAGTAGTGTGTGTTCCATGTTAATTTTCAGGAAACAGTATTTACGATCTCCAAGAACCAAGAGAATCTCTCTTCTCTCTCGTTTATGAGGGGTTCAAATTGCCATCTCACGTGCAGAACGCTGTAGCTTTTGTTAGTTAATTAAACATCCCTAAAGTATGATGCCTTTCCTCCTACGCGGAGAAAGATAAAAAGGCAAGTTCGTTTGTCCTTTGGTATATAGACGTCCTTCGGGTTTGTGCATGTCATGTTCCTTTGGGTTTCTTCAAACGGAACGCCACTTCCATACTATAATTCTTCCTCCTTCTAAGCCCTCTCTACTCATAAGACTCCTCCTCCCTTGTACACAGTACACTAGCTTGTGGGTCTCTACCCCGAATCCTCTTTTCATGTTTGTCTGCCTCTTGGAGTGAGGAAAAAGGAGAGAGAGATTATTAGAAAACACAACAGGTCCGTCTGTTTCCGCGTTTGAGAGAGAGTAACTAGACATGGAGCTAGAGGCAATTGTGTACTCTCAAGATCCATTTACTTATGGCTGCAAGGATTCTTGCTCCTTGGCAGGAGGGGGAGCTTGGGACTATGATTTTGAGTTGCAAGAAGATGATAAAGCTTTTCTTGGGATTCTGGAAAATAACAACATGGAGCAACAAGGTCTTCATGCAAGCTGGGATTCATCATCACTTTCATTGATGCAGCAAGAAAAAGAATGGGATTACAATTCCTCATCACCCGGGACTTGCAATGTCGATCAATCTCTCCAAGGAATACTGTTTCCTGCAATGATGGAACCTGCACCAGTGACAACAACAAACAGGAGAAAACGGAGACGCACCAAGAGCTCCAAGAATAAAGAAGAAATTGAGAACCAGAGAATGACTCACATTGCTGTTGAACGCAACCGCAGAAAACAGATGAATGAGTATCTTGCTGTGCTTAGGTCTTTGATGCCTCCTTCTTATGTTCAAAGAGTATGTGCCTCCATGCGCCTTGACATATCAAACCCCCGTTTTCAACTGTGCATATTAAAACTTGAATTATATTTTACCTATTTTCAAAATTCAATGATAAAAAAGAATTCCATAGCCCCACTTATATGGAAATTAATTTTTCATGGAAGTTCACCGGAGCTTATTGTACAGTTCCATCTATTGATTAATCGGTCATCTTGATCGGATTTGTACTAATTCATTAGAAGAAAATTTTTGCAAACATATTTTCATAAATTTAATTACATTGATTTGTTCTTCTTAGGGTGACCAAGCATCGATAATTGGAGGTGCCATTAACTTCGTGAAGGAGCTAGAGCAGCTCTTGCAGACCATGGGAACTAATAAAAAGAACAAGCAACAACCCGACGATAATGGTTTCCCTTCACGGCTATTTGCTGAGTTCTTCACCTTCCCACAGTATTCGACTCGTGCATCTCAGCCTTCAGTAACGGCAGATGAATCAGTGGCTGATCAGAACCAGCGGGCTTTAGGGGACATAGAAGTGACAATGGTGGAGAGCCATGCCAACCTCAAAATTCTATCAAAGAAACGGCCAGGACAGCTCTTGAAGTTGATGGTGGGGTTGCAAAACCTAAGGCTCAGTATTCTTCACCTCAATGTCACCACTGTTGATCAAATGATTCTCTATTCAGTTAGTGTCAAGGTTAGTGAATTTTTATAGTCAAATCAGTCAATTTTTCTTTATTGAGCAATTTATATCACTTTTTTTTCCCTCTCCTTTTAAGCCAATAGAACCATAAAATTAAACACCAATTAATTGGAAAGGTTGATATTAATTATGATCATCTACTATTACAAATTTACTGTACGGTGTTCAATGTTTTTTATTTTTTTATTTTTCATTGGGTATGAATATATTGGGACAGGTTGAAGAAGGATGTCATCTGAATACAGTGGACGAGATTGCAGCTGCTGTTAATCACATGCTATACAGGATTGAAGAAGGAACTGCTTTCAGCTGAAATTTGTAAACCTAAGTTGTAACTGTTCTGCAGTTAGGGCCGGTTGTTAATTTGCCTCTCGTAATGGATTTTGCTGGTTTAATTTTCCCTCCATTTTAATTTGTCCAAGATAATTTTATATAACCGCGACCGAGTGTTAATAATATTAATAATTACAATTACAAGAAAGAAATGAATAATAGCCATTCTTCGATCCATGTTTTGAATCAATGCCAATCAAATTTGTTGTCTTTTATGTCATGCTCGATACCACAATAAAAAATCAAAATAAGATAAAAGTAGATAAGAAGTTAAGAAACCCATTTTTAGATAAAGAGTTAATTATTTTAAAAAAAATATCATTCTAAAATATTTTATTTATGATAGGCTGTATTATACTTGTATTTAATAATAAAATTAACTATTATGTTTTTACTAAGAAGACCTAAACTAATATATACATGAGATGGGAGGTAGGCCTGATTACAAGGTCCAATCTTTATTTAAAAATATAAATATTGTTTAGAGTGGTGAAAAATGACAAATTAAGTTTTGAGTTTGTTTTTTAAATTATCACACTTGATAAGCTTTTTAAAGTTATATTGACCCAACCTAAATTTTCTTATCATGATGGATAATATCATAAAAAATAATTTAAAATTAATAAAATTTATTATTTTTAGAAAATAAATGTTGTTATGAGAGCGATTTTATTGATAATATAACAATTTATTCTATGAAAGAGAAATGAAACAAAAAAGAACCTTTAACTCACAAACTGAATTCATTTATTATTATTTTTAAAATAAAAATTTGAAAAAAAAAATTATTTACTTTTGAAAGGACAAGTGTTGATAGTGTTGATAGATCATACTATCTATAATTTTTTTTTGTTTTTTTTTTTAAAAAAAAACAAAGTGGTGTCATCTAATTAACAAAACCCATCAAGTGATAATACTACCAATGGTCAACTCTTCAATAAAAACAGAACATATTTTTTTTACATGCATAAAAATATTTCCTGCCATCTAAAAAAATATTTAGCATCCCAAATTACAAATCACACCTAATCATATAAAACACGAGAATCAAATGCGGACCAATGCATATTTTTCACATAATTAATTAAATCATCACAAAATCAATAAAAGCATTCTAAAAATAGATAAATAAATCAACACACATATAATCAACAAAATATCACCCTAATTATCATCATAAACGTACACATAAAATCAATTCATATATCAATATCACAAAACAAATAAATTGCTTTTGGATTTGAAATAAACCTTTTAAGACTATAGAGTCATTGATGAAGTGGCATAACTTTGTAATAACAAGTACCCTAATTAGTGATGAATTGAAGGTGGTTATTCTGCCATTTTAATTTGGTTATATCCTAAGAATTCAACCATGAAAGAGTATGTGAAGTTTTTAGCATCGTTATCCATAAGTAAATCAATATGAGGTAACAAAAAAAACAATAAATCATATTTAGGGCTTGCTTTGTTCAAGTCTTAACGGGAATAACGTTAAATTGGTCACTTTCCATTTCAAGATGGTGTTTGCTTTTGGTATTCCTGTAAAGTAGGTGGAGCAAATGAGAATATGGAAGAAGAAAACAAACGAGACGCAAGAAAAACGAACTACATAGAGTTTTACTAATATTAAGCAAATAAACGAGTTCATTAAAATAAACAAACAAGCTTTCCCAACATATAGGTTAGAGTTATTAAAAACAGAGGAAATTGGGAATTATTTAATCTTAAAAACAACTGGAATCTCTTCGGCGAGCCAATTATCAATCTTTTTTGTACTAGTTAATTAAAGTCAATAATCACTTGTGGTGGAAGAGCCAAGGTTTTGGGTGGCCGAGGGAGCTTCGCTGTATTTTCTGAACCATCTGGCCAATCTAGTTCTTATGAATTGATGGTCTAGGAAAGGTATTATGAATGTGCAAAATATCCATCTTCTTTCTGTTAGGATCTCTCCCTTCAATTTGGGCTATTTTCTTTTCTCTTTAACATCGCTGTCCTCTACTAATCATTTTAGCTGGGTTTGAAACCTATGACAAATATATTAACAATACTCTCAAAAGCATCAAGAAAGTGCTGTCGTTTCCATGCCTTTTTGTTGTATTAATATTTTTATTTTATTTTATATTTTTTTCCTGTAATTTACTTTTTTTAAAAAAAAAATTATATGTTTTTTTTTTAAATTATTTTTGCTGATTTTTTTCTAATATTAAACTAGTTGAAAATTTAACTTTATTATTTAAAAAAATATTAAACTAGTTGAAAATTTAGCTTTATTATTTTAAAAAATTATAAATTGCTATAATATTTTTTTATGACTTTTTTTATGACATTATAAATTGTTATAATATTTTTTTATATGAGTTTTTTTTCTTTTATGACTTTTTTTCAAAATAATTATTTTTTTATTTTTTAATTAACAATACTTTAAAAGGTATAGGAAAAGTACTATAGCTTTCCCCACATCTTTTATTTTTGTTGTACTAATATTTTTATTTTATTTTTTATTTTTTATGTTTTTACATGTTTTCTTCCCCATGATTTATTTTTAAAAAAAAAATTATATGTTTTTTTAAAAATATCTAATTTTTTTTAATATTGAACTGGTTGAGAATTTAGCTCTGTCATTTAAAAAAAAATTATGAATTGCTACAATGTTTTTCTATATGAGTTTTCTTTCTTTTTTTTTATACTTTTTTCTCAAGATGGTCATTTTTTTTTATATTGAACTGATTGAAAATTTAGTTTTGTAGTTTTTTTATAAAAAATATTGTAGATTGCTGTAGTATTTTTCCAATATAGTTTTTGTTTCGCTACAATATTTTTCCATGTTTTCTTTTCAAAATTCTCTTTATTGTTTTTTTTTAATATTAAGCTCGTTGAGAATTTAGCTTTGACTTTCTCCACATATTTTTTTTGTATTTTATCTAAAAATTTCTTTTTTGTGTTTTTTTAGAATTGTTTTTATTGATTTTATTTTTGTAATATTGAGCTGGTTGATAATTTAGTTTTATAGTTTTTTTTTTAAATATTATTGATTGCTATAGTGTTTCTCCATATAATATTTTTTTAAATTTTTTTTTGTCAATTGTTTTTTCTATATTAAGCTAATTGATAATTTAGTTTTATTTTAAAAAAAAAAATATTATGGATTGGTACAATATTTTCTTATATGATTTTTTCTTACTATATTGTTTTCTCATATATTTTTTAATTGATTTTTTTAAATTATCATTATTGAATTTATTTTTAAAAATATTGTGGAATGTAATAATAATTCTTAAACGTTTTTATAATTTTTTCTATAAATTTATTACAATACACAAACATATCATAAATCTACAATACCACATTGGCATGACAACTAGTAGTTTATCTACATCTTACAGCCTATTTTTGAAAATAGGTGGTACATCATACCTCTGAACTTCACAACCATTTTAACTACACTGGGTATAGATGTTTTTTTATTTATTTATGTAAACTAAATTTACATATATTCCCCTGGGTTCAGAAAATTTATAAAATAGGATTAAGTATATATATATATATATAATATATATATATATATATATCAATGATACGAGGGTATTGATATCTTTTTAGATTTATTAAATATTATATTATTTAAAAAAAATATTAGCATTTAGAAGTTGTTTGTGCATTTTAAGCGGCGTATACTGCGCCTCCTGTGGTTAAAAATTTCCTTCCATTATGTTATTTAATTCACATCACATGCTCTTTTGGTCACCTTTTATCCTTTTCCCTTTTCTACCTAAAAATACAACCCAGTTCACATTGTTATTGGTTTTTTAAATTTAATCATTTGTTTTTTGTTTTTTATCTTTATATCTTTTGTTAAAGTTTTGTTTGTTTTCAATTTAATCCCTTAATTTTAGTTTATTACATATAATATTTTTCAATTTGATCCTCCTTTTTAATTTCTCTTTTTTTTCTAGGTTTTTTTTGTTAAAGTTTTGATGGTTTGCAATTTCATTATTCAATCTATATTTATAATTTTTATTTTTTTAATTTGATCCTTATTCTTTTGATATTTTTTTATTTAATTTATTTTCTTTTCAATTTAACCCCAATTAAAAAAATTATCTTTCCCTCTATTATATATATTATTTTTATTTTCACCCTCATTCATTTAATTACTATTGTTTTATTTTAGATCCTTTCGTGTAATTGATTTTTTTTATTTTTTTAGATCCTTTCATGTAATTGATTTTTTTTATTTTCATTCTCAATATTAATCATCTTGGTTTTTTTTTTATATCCAAAAATAATTTTTAATTTTTTTTATCATGTTATCTTAATCTTATAATCTGGACCATAGAGTTTCAGGTTAACTCTAGTTGACTTTCCTATATTAGCTAGTTTAAAATATATCATTCTATCTTAAGCTATCTTAAGTATCTTAAGATCTAGTTTAAAATATATCATTCTATCTTAAGTTATCTTAAGTACTCGAGTAAGGTTTTTTATCTATTTTTGTTCAATTAGGGATTTCAAAAGAGTTTTTTTTTTGCAGATTACAGTGTTCTTTTCTTTATATTTTTCTAAATTTGTATGTTTGTTGTTATTGTCTGATTAAGAAAAATATAATTTTGATAATTCAACATTGGTTTTACATAAAGAAAATAAAAAATTTACAATTCTAAAAAGTGTGGTTCAACAAGTCAAGCTTTAAATTTGCTTCCTAGAAATTATCAGTTTGAGTTATATAAACTCGAATACTATTAAAAATTTATATAATTATTAATTTTAGTGTCTATAAAATTAATTAAGATATATATAAAATAAATTAAATTGACATACATAATATTAATAAAAAAAAATTACAAATAGTGGGCCACATCTAAGTATGAACAATAAAATGGACAAGGCATGTAGTACGTGGGTTTTCAATATATGCACGATAGATCCACGTGCCATAATTGTCTTATACTGCTGCATGTCCATATTCGCACGGTGAAGAAATCCATTAGATTTTCGTTCTCACTTTAGGGGGAAAAGTAGCGCTCGAAAGGACTTGCAGGGAGAAAGTGAGGCTAGCTACCGTGTAACTTCGCAAGAACCCAAGCTCTTTTTTTTTTTTTT